TACGCATTATATAGAAGATTAGGAAAATTATATAATTCATCATTATCATAAAACATTAATGATATACTTTTTAAATAAGGATAAGTTATTTTTTGTAAATAAAGGAATATAACATTTATATTTGCCGTTTTAATATTTAGAAGATGTAATATATGCCACTTGTATTCCGTACTATATTAATAATCTAGGGTGTTCATGGCAAATTTTCATCAATTCTAGAATTAAAAAAAAAATTAAGCACATATATTATTATCCTGTATGTTCGTTTTAAATATATATAACATATATGTTTTAATATAATCATATTATTATTGGATAATCTGCACAAATATATAAACGTATTGCGATGGATTCATTTAATGTGATTTATTATTAATAATATATAATTTACACAATTATAATATATATATATTTCATTTTCCAAAGAAATATGGAAATTTGTTTATGAAAACATTATGTTTGTTATATAATTTGTTATTTTTTTTAGTACACTTTTGTAAAAGAATTTCCTAAATTTAATAAATCTATACAATGTTATGATAAAACTTTGGAGATTCATGGTATCCATTGTATTAATGGTTCTATAGCAGCACAAAAAATTTTTAATGAAAAATATAATGAAGAAAAATGTAAGTGCGCATTGCCATTTTCTTATGATATAAGGAATATTCCTAATAATATAAATTAAGAGGCAAAATGCTTTTACTTATATTATTGGTTATACAAAATATTTAAAGATAGTAATATAAGTAATAAAACCAAAAGTGTTTATGAGGATATATTTAACATGGTACATGGATATAATAATAGTGTATGTAAAAAATATATGCTGGTTACTATTTTAGATGAAGATTTGCAGATATTGGACGCTTTATATGACATGAATTATATTTTTTATTACATAAAAAATGATCTTTATACCTCTGAAAAAAGCAAGTGCGATTTGATTTCTAAATATTCAAATAAATATGAACTCTACTATAAAACATGTGAGCCCAAGAACCTAAGTTATGTATGTGAAGCATTAGAATATATTAAAGATCAATTAAGTATTCTACAAAAATCATCTGATAGATGCGTCCAAGATAAATGCCAATTACCACCTTGCAAATATAATGAAATCATAAATATAACATCCCCCAGAAATAGTAGAACAAAAAATGCCATAATATCAACTATCATAATATTAATAACACCAGTTATACTGTTTATAATTTATAAGGTTAAATGTGTTGTTGATATATATATTTATATAATATATTAATATTTTTAAAAAGTTAAAAAAAATTATAATATTAATATATTTTTAACACATAATTTTATTTTATTACAAATTAGTTCTTGCCATATAATTCATCCTTGCATCGGGCAATAAAAAATATAATAGGTAAATGTCATGTTCTCATAGAAGAACGGAATAAATCGCAAAACTCAGAAATATTTAAGAGTATTTATTGGAATAGTATTTTTAATGTGTTATATAGGTCCACATAATTTAGAAAATACATATATAATGAAAATAAATTGATTTCTATAAAACTAATGTATAAAAATGTAAAAAAATTATTTTATGAATTCTCTTATCAAAGAGATAAAGCAAAAATAAATTAATTCACAGAATATATAAATTAATAAAAGGTCTTAATTTATCTATTTAATAATATAATATTATATTGAATTAGTATTCACCTTTTGATAGTATATTTAAGGTATAGTATTTAAATTTTTGTTTTTATTTTAGCTTTTATGAAATGTGCTTTTACATTTGCACATAATTTCCGAATTTATTATATTTATTATTATATATAAAAGTAAGAAGTATTAACAATAGTATTTATATTAATTTACACGATCCTTAGTTATATTTTGTACATTATGTACATTTTTTTGTTTATTCATGCATTTCATTAAATATGAATAATGCTATACTGTAATTATGTGTTAAATATATATTATTTTTATTATATATATAAACATATATTACATTTAGTTCTGATATATTATAAGAGATTATATATGTAGAATTTATATTATTCTTTATATATATATATGTATAAAACAAATAAAACAAAAATGCTAGTATATGTTATTTGTTTTCTCAAAAGTTTTTCAGGATATGGTATTTTTTATAGTTATGTTCATTATAGTACACCTATGATGATATTTAAAATTATTTATATTTATAAGAATTATATTAAACTAATATTAAGGTATATTGTGAAACAATGTACTAATATTATAAAGATGTTTATATATTTTAATATTACCTTAAAAAATGATTAATAATAAATAACATAAATATATATTATGCAATATTCATTCAACTGGAATAGTAAATTTCTGTAGAATGAATAATATCATACATAGATTAAGATGTAAATTTAAATAAAAAAATGTTCTGTTCTAATTCATATTATTCTTTGTCAATTGTTATATGTTTAATAATCTATTTTTTTTTAGATTCTAGTATATATAAATATTTGATATGTAAAAAAAGAACAGCAGTAATATATATATTTTAGAATAAAATAAATTATTTTTCCCTTTAAATTTGAATTAATTAAGAATAATATAACTATTATATTTTGATATTTTATCTACACATTTCATAAAATATTTTTAATTAGAAATACATTTAAAGAATTCCACAAAGAAGGTTAGTTCCACATAAATTAAAATATTACATAAATATATACATATAATTAAAAATGCGTAAAAGTATAATAATCATATAAGTATTATATTCTATATTTACATGTGATATTAAAAAAAATAATGCATAATCATTACGTAATATCTAAGTTAATATTATTTTGTATAAATTATATATAACAAATAAGTAAACATGTAATATAACAATTAGTAAAAGATCTGTGTAAATTATTTCTCTATATGAATGTAGTATATTTTAAAGAATCATATACTTATTATATGCTTTAACGCATATTTAATTTAAGTATTTGTTTTCATATGATGTATAATTCTTTGTGTTAACTATAACATACCATCCTAATGAGATTTAATGCCTCTGCTTGTCAAAAATAGTAATAGCCTTGAATTTAATTTATGATTATAGCATTTCGATAAATAAAAATTATATTTTTTACAAAATCTATTATTATACTTTTAAAATATTATATATATAAAAGAATGCTTGAATGTGTTATGATATAATATCATAAAACACACAAGCTGAAATTTTTATATATAATGTAATATGTAGATTATATATATATGAATTAACACGTTCAATATCATTATTAGCATAAATATACATATCTATGAGAACCATGTTATTAACGATTCCTTGAAATAGACAATATATCTTAAATAAAATCATTTTTTACTTACACATTAGAATTCATATTAAATTTATTAATTCATACTCTTCATTATTCCTATATATAATAATATACAACATAAAAGTAAGTTTATATACATTCAGAATACTTATTTTTTTAATATTATTTTTCGTTATAAAAATTTTAATGTATTTTTTAATAACAATAGAAATATCCTTTCTGTACATATACATTCTTACTATCTATGTGTATAATTATTTAGAAAATAATTAACATTATTTCTATGTATTTAATATATAATATAAAAATATACAAGAATCGTTTTATTGAATGAGTATGAATAATTTTTCATGAAATACGATTTTTATACATTTGATTTACTATAAATATATTCGATTTAATTATATATAATACTGCATATATGATGAATGCATAGAATGAAGTATATCGTGCGTAAAAGTAAAAAATAGATCGAATGTTTAATGAAATGTGTGAATAAGAAATTATATGATGAATGTTATATTTATTGTATAACTTAAATTTGGAACTATAAAGATTATTTGAAGTTATATTTACATATTATATGATATCTAATTTTCATTAATAATGTTTTGAAAGAAATATATATATTTTTTGTCTATATATATTACATTAAATAGATGTTAATATTTTCATTTTATGATTAATTTTATAATTTTGTTATACGTATGTAAATTTTGTTTTTTCTAATTTATTATGTGTAATAGATTTTAAGCTTTTCACTTTTCTTATAATGATGTATACAATACATGTGATGACTCTTGTGTATTATTACTTATTGATAGCTCATTGCATAATATTATTTCTAAATATAAAAATATTATGTAATTAGATATAATTAATGAAATTCACTTGTGTTATATATAAAATATAAAAAAATGAATTTCATTGTAGTAAAAGAAAATTAAATTTCATTTCCATTGAATGAATGTACATAAGAGATTAACGTAATTAATGTTTTGTAGGTTGTGAAAATTTTCGATATTAATCATATAAAAAGAAAAATATTTGTATTGTAATATAAAACAGTATATTAAATTAAATAAAAATAAATACAACAATAAATAACATATTATTATTTATGCCATAATATTTACCTTAAAAAACATGTATCTTATAGAATTTTACACATTAATATTATCAATTTTTTAAAACATTTTATAATCAGTGAAAAAATACCATATGTATATTATAAAAATAATTTTCATTATAAATAAATTTTCATCATTTTTATTTTATAATTGCATACTCATTTGTATATAGTACTATATAATATAATATCGGGATATATATATATATATATATGTTTTATTTCATTTGTGTTAAATTATTATATTTATGTGATACCACTTAATAAAAGGAAAAAATTATATTCATACAAGCTAAAGAATATTAAAAAAGGTAAATTTCTTAAATATACAAGTTCTATATTTATTCATTCATCATGAACGGATGAATTATATCATTCGGTATTCTTCTTATTGAATAACTGTTATATTATATTTACCAAATAATCCATAACTTTTTTATAGTATTATAATCCATATTTAATTTTAATATGAAAATACTAATAGAATCAATCTGGAAATATTTGATTCCTCCATTTTATGTACTATTTAATTGTAATATATTTTTATAAATATATATTTAATGCTACAACTAAGCAGAATTATATAACACATTATATCCTGTTTCCCATGAGTTGTCGTAATTTTCATATGAATGCTTTGTATCCAATACCTTATATGTATTTTTAAATTTATTTCTTATACTTTTTACAGCATATTGCAAGAGTGTACCATGTGGTGTGAACTAATAATAAAAAATACATTAATTTGGTAATATATTTTTATAAGAGTATATATATAATTATATATTTTTTTCTCTTTTAACAATTTCATTATTGGGTAAATATATATATTTATTATTAACTTTATATATATAAAATAAAAGACATGATACTAATAAGGTTATAACAATAGGAATTAAAATAGGAAGTATTATATCTTGTCTTTCCAAATAAGATATCATTTCTGGTATACTTATATTATATTTATTAATAATATTATGATCATGAAGTTTTTTTCTAATATTTTTTAATTCATTACATAAATCAGTATTATGCTTGTCTTTGCATATATTATAGAGACGATTATATCTTTCTTCGCATTCTTTTGCACAATGTTTTTCTTTTCCATCACAATTTATATTATCAGATTGTATTATATTTTTAATGGATGTTATAATATTATATATATCGTTGATGATTTGTAAATCATCAATATCATACTCTAGGTAAATATTATAATACTCGAAAGATAATATATTTTTCTTAACAATACTAATCAATTCTTTATAAAATTCATTGATTCTTGTAATATCCACTACTTTTGTCTGTTCTTTCTGATTTATCCAATAATACAAGTATTGTACAGCAACATTTTTCAATGAATCATCAGGTGAAGTAAATATTTGGAATAAAAAATTTATAGATTTATGGCATATATTTAAAACATTGGAATCTGTTATATCTGAAAATTTTACTTTAATTTGACTACATTCATTGTTGTAGGAACTCGTAAAAGTACTTGCTTCATCCTTCATATATTGTTTACATTTAGGAAATAAGGAATATATTTTTTCATACTAAAAAAGGTGAAAAAAGTTATAGCATTACAAAAATCGTATTCTAATAAAAAAGAATTGTGCATGTTAATGGAAAATAAAGTATACGTTTATTATAATATTGTAAATTCTATTATAATAATTCTATTCTACATTATATTTACTCATCCTAAAAATGACCACATAACTTTTCCAATTATGTATATTAAAAATTTAAGCATACTAGTACATATATTCCAAAAAATTTAAAAAGAATTATATATAATATTAGAAAATAAAATTTATACTTTCTTAATATTATGCAACTGATAGAAAAATTAATTAGACTAAAATAATCATTAATTTTTATTGTAATTATAATATGGTACTATTTGTGATGTTTTGTATTAATTTTTAATTATTTTAAGGAGAAAAAGGAAAACAAAAGTATAATGATTACATAATAAGAACAATAGCATTGTTTGATAAAATATGACAATAAAAACATCTATAATACATTAGTTTACAGAGTTCATGATTTTAATTTTTCGGATTGTATTTTTTTGACAAAGGATTTATATCTTATGTTAATTATTATAGATTATTTATTGATGTTTAAGTACTATAAATAATATTTTAAAATATATTATTTTCATAATAAAATTTTTGATATAATAAGAATATGCTTTTTTTTTTATGGATATGAATGTATAATTATTATTATTTTATATAAATTTATAAAAATGTAATAAAGGTAAAATAATATTCAGTGTTTATATTTCAGGGTTAGTTTTAGGGTTAAGACTTTGCTATTTAGTATTTATAGTTGAGTATTCTTAATTATCATTTAGTATAAATCTACAAGTTTTCTTGGAGAAATTCACCATAAGATTATTATTTCTATATTTTAATTGGTATTTTATGAATTATATCATATGTTTTATTCTGGGATATATTAATATGTACTAGAACACTGCATATATTTTTTTCTACAGTATATGAGTTAATATTAACATAAGATATTTTATAATTTATTAAAATATATATATAAAGAAAGGATGAATACATAGAGTTCTGTTTATTTTATAATATTTGTAGGCACAATTAATATTTTTATAGTGTCATTCATTATTTGTTAATATTTTATTAATAAGAACTAATATAATATTGATAAATCATTTGTATCTATATATGAAGTTTTTATTTTTATTATTATATTTTAATTAAGAATATTTTGTTGTTTTCAGATTTTTATTTATGCTGTTTTTATTATTATCTAGTTATTATTTAGAAAAATATTTTTTTATATGCCTTATTTGTATATATTCATTAATTTTACTTACTATATATTTTAAACGGTTTTGTATTTTTAATAACTAATAATTTTTGGTGTTATATATGTTTTTTGAAAAATAAAATATTACAATCTTATAAAATAGATAATATAATATGTTTAATTTATTTACATATATGCTTTTGAATTATTCATGTATAAACTTCCTATATATATTTCATTATTATATCAATTTTTCCTTTTCCATTTCCAATACAGAAAATGTAATATTTGGAGTAAGAAATAACATAAAATATATAAAATATAACCCATTTTAAAAATGGAATAAGTAATTAACATGTAAATTTATATACATATTATAATAACACAGTTTATTTTACTCATATTATGATGTGTTCATTAATATTTAAAATTCACTATGTATGTGATATAAATGATTCTCATTGTAAAATATAATCATATATGAAATATAGATATTGTTTTTTGATATTATTCATTTAGTGAATAATTTAATTATATGTAATATATAAAATAAGAGAAAAAAATTTTGGTTAAAGGCAATTATGATATAATGTAAATGACAAAAAAGTTTATAATTTTTTATAAATTTTTTTAGAAAAGGCCTTTTATTGCATCATATTAATTATAAGAATTCTATGCTTTTCTTTGTCATGAGTGATAAAATTAATACCAAAATACTCACTATAAATAAAAATAATGCGTTTTATATTTAATTAGTGCAATAACTAACACTATTTTTATTATGCATAAATCGCGTGTATAATGAAGAATTATATTTTTAAATATAACAAAATATTGATATATTATATAAATAAAAAAAAATTAATACATATTATCCTTAATTATTAAATTATTATAATAACCTCAGAAAAAATAATTTTGGGGGGGAAATATACATAAAACAGTCGTTTTTACTGAATTCAGTAATATATATAAAGAATAATATTGCAATATTAAAATTTATAATTATGTAATCTATGATTTTTTTGATTTTTGAACAAGTGATATATGAAATGAGATAAGATAGCTTTTTAGTTATATATATAATTTTTTTTACTCTTTGTTGTATTCAATATAGGACATTTTATGATATATTATGGTTAAGACACATTTGAATATATTAAAATTTTTTTTAATGCAATGATGAAGTTAATATAAGAATATATATAAATACAGTTTCTTTTTTTTTCAATAGAAATTTATATTAACAGAAATATCATTTATTTAATCTTCAATGCAGTGTTCTTTTAATGGCACAAAATATATTTTTACTTATTTTATATTATTTCATCCTATATACCAAAAAGAAGAACTCTGATAAAATATAATGGAAAACAAATAATAATATAATTAATAGTGCAATTATACATAGAGTATTACATTATTACATGTTATATTATAATTTATATAAAATGTTATATAATTAATTTAAACAGAATTCATATAACAATATAGCAAGAAAAAGAAGAATATGATGTATATTGTATGTGTATACTTAGAATAATAATTATAATTACTGTTATTATTTTGTTATATTATTTCATAAACTATTTCTTATTGGTCAGAATTGTTTACAATTAAAATAATTTTTCTTTTAGTTATATGTAACCTTAATTTTTTAAGCATATATATCTAGTTCATTTTTGCATTTCACTTCAAAATATGTATATATATAAATTGCAAATATGAGAAGTAAAAAATATAGATATTGTGAAGTTGTACTCCAATTATTTTTACTATTAAATAATTTTTTTTTTCATATGTAGGTTTAGATCTTATTGTAATTTGTATATACATATAACAATCCTAAGGAGAGGATGAAATTGCTGTATAATAAAAGGTTAATTTTTCAATGATTGAATTTAGAAAATTATACATAGCACAAAATATAAAGATAACTAAATCTGAATTATTGTTATGTAAAATAAAATATAACTTTTAATTTATAGATTTGTTTTATGTATACCTAATAATATGAAAGATATATATAATAATGCAAATTTAGGTACTTATAATATTTCGAGTATTACATATAGAGAAAAAATATAATACATATTTGCAATTGCTAAAAATGTATAAAAGTTTATAGTATTTTTTTTTCACTCTGAATAATATATAATTTTTGTCTCTTTGCACATCAATTACAATAACAATATACTAGTAATTTCGAACTTCAAGAACGTAAGTAAATATATTTGTAAAAATTATTTTAAAAGTTAGTAATATTTACTGATATTTTACATATTACAGATTAAATTAAACTGAACAGATAGGTTAAAATGTTAAAATAAAATTAAATTCATGTTATAATATATAAATCATACATATTGTATTCATATAACATAGTATTTGTAATGTACGAACCATTAATTATAATCATAATGAAAAATAATAACATAGATCGTTGTTTACATATTTCAAATTTTTGATGTTTAGGTCATGCTAATTTATTCGAAGAAAAATTTATTTGTTATTTTTATATAAATATTTATATGCCAAAATTATCCAAATAAATGTTACATTTTTATATTGCACATTAATTATTGTATCCATAAACTTTTAAATATTTCTTGAAAACATGTTTTATATTAAGTATTTATAAATATATAACTATGATACTATTATAGTTTCGACGTTGATTTTTTTTCATGTATAAATAATAAGAAAATTTTATTTAAATATTTATATAAAAACATTAATCTATAAACATTACTTATAAATTTTTTTTATACTCATGAAATTGCACCAATATATTAGTTATCCATTATAAAAATTTAAGTGACATATACACATAACAAAGATACTAACAAATTATATTACATATATTCTTCATATTACTTTAAAAATAGAGATAAATATATATATAAACATCTTTATTTACATGATTATAGAAGTTTTGGTAATTTTTTATTTATAACATTTATTTAAATTCCCTTTATATGTTACACAATATATAAGACATATTTACTAAAATAAACAATTATAAATTTTAACAAAATAATATAATTCAAGTTAATTTAATGCTTAATAATAATTATACTATTAATGAATAAATAATAATTTCTTATAATTTATATTAATTATAATTGAAAACATACCTTAACAAAAGTTTTTAATAAAGATGCACTGAACATTCATTTTTAACCATTATGTGCTATACAGAATATATTAATTAATTTTCGTTTTTATAGTAACAATATATTTATATACATCATTTATACTATTCTTTATTATTTAATTATAACACAGTATATGACTAGCACAAAACGTGTTAAGTTATAAAAGGATTTAGAAATCATTTCCGTTCGTTGTGACATAGCAATAGCATATTATTTTGTAGATTAAAAATATGTATTATAAATTTTATATTGATGAAAGTGTATAAATTACGCAGTGAACATGAATTTTTCAAAATAAATTTATAATTATAATTTATACGTTTATCATTTAATTAGAATATATTTTTGTTTACATGCATCATATTTTTTCAATTTTACATAAAATAAGGTTATAAAAAATAATCTCTATAATACCATGGAGATAACATTTTAATACATAAGTACTTAATTTAAAAGATTATTAATAAGCAAAAATTGTATTATATAATTTTTTTAATGTGTAAATATATTTAGAGTAAATGATTTTATTATTAAAGTATTTACATGATGCTATGTATTAATTATAATAAATACATAATTTTTTTTTATTTCTATAATTTTTAATTATTAAAATGTTAAATTATTAATATGTTCATTATTATACTAATAATTATGGATGTAAAAAACAGGATATAAAAAATAAACACACTTATTATGTGTCCTATTATTAAATAAATTACAGTAGCATATATATATATTTTTTAATTTTCTCTTATACATACAAGAGAAACAATTCGTTATTTTATGCATTTATTTTTCCGAAATAATG